GTGCCATGCCCAACAGAAATGACCCAGGTGGATAGCTCCTCAGTTGCTCATAGAAAATCCCACCTTGGAGTTTACAAAGACTTATGGGTAGAAAAGCCACACTAAGTAATTTACTATACTGTACAGGTAGAACTTGTAAGAGATGAACTTTGATATTTGGCTGAGGAGTTTTCTAAGCAAAGTCTTAAAAGGATTGTATGTTTTCTCCTTGCTGCTTATAGTAAAATGCAAGAGGGAAGAGATAAATTTTTAAAAGAACTGTTCAAAATGAAACCAGTACTTAAAGATTTGGGAAATTCTGTTGTGCAAACTAAGGAAATGTGTCCTGGAAGAACTTTTGCCAAGGATGACAAGGCTCCACAATCATTTGCTAAAGAGATTAAGCCTGTGACTGATGGATCCAATCAATCACTGCAGCAGAAAATCTAACAGTTTAGACTGAATGGGGCAGAGACAGGATGAAATGAAGAAAGCTTCTTCCTCTTGGAATTCTACAGGGAGGAAACAGTTCAGTGGAGCTACTTGGTTCCAAACAACTGTTGTTCTCCAAGAAAATAAAAGACCCATCCCAGGAGCAAATTGGAGACCAGCAGTAATGTTGGAGGGACCATGGTGGACAGGATTTCCCTCATTTAAAAAGATAGAAACACTGCCTCTGTCTTAAAGAATGGAAAAACCACCTCCTAAATTTAAAAGAGTCAAAAATCTCCATCACCTTGCTTCCAGAGTGTGGTGTTATCCAAAGCTGAGGGGGCAGGGCTACCATGAACAAGGGCTAGGAGAATGGACCCACCAGTGCAGAAGGGGTGGGTCACCACTGAAGTGGATCAGAAGAACGAGGCTACCCAAAGTCAAGGGAGCTGACTTGCCATCCCAGTAGGCCTGGAAGGCAGGACTAACTCCTAAGGCCAATGGACCTACAGAATCCAAACAGCGTGGCCAGCACTCAGAATCAGCAGGGCAGAGACATTGCCTAGATGGTCCCAGAGAACAGAGGGTTATTTTCAAGGCTTGAGAACTAATGAAATTTGCTCTGCTGGGTTCTGGACTTGCTTGATGCTCATAATTTCTCCCACTTGGAATAGGAATGTCACCTTGTGTCTGCCACATTGTACTTTGGAAGTATACAATATTTATTCTAGGAGCTCTGGTAGCATAGTACCTAAGACACTTGACTGCTTACCAGAAGGCTGGTGGTTTAAACCCACCAGCCACTCTTCGGAAGGAAGGTTGGGCAATCTACTTCCATAGTGCTACTGCCTCGGAAACCCAAGGAAGGGTCACTATGAGTCGGGTCCGACTCGATGGCACATCACAACAACAGGTTTCACAGGTTCTCAGATGGAAAGAATTTTTCCCCCAAGATGGAACACAACCAGATTCATGATCCAGAATTATATGATGATCCAGAAGAGAAAACTTGGGGCTTAGAGCTGATTTAAGACTTTTGGCATGTGACAGGATTACTATATTTTTGCATGAGGAAGGACATGAAATTTGGGGAAACAAAAGGTGCAAAGTTACAGACTAAATTGCGTTCTATCAAAATATGTGTTGTGAATCCAAACCTTTATGTATGTGGATGTAATTCCATTTGAGAATAGGGTTTTCTTTGTTATGTTAGTGAGGCCATATCAGTATAGGGTGTGTCTTAACTTAGTGATTTTTAAGATAGAAAAAGAGTCAATTAGGCACCGAAGCAACCAACCAGGAGTAGAGAAAAGAAATGTCACCTAGAGATCTCCAAGGAATAATGAGAAGAAAAGTTACAGACAGTGAGACTACGATTTTATCCCACAGCAAACAGAGAGCCTTCCCCTAGAGTTGAATTTGAACTCTAGCCTCTTAAACTATAAGAAATCAAAGTTCTCTTTTTTAAAGTCACCTACTTGTGGTATTTCTGTTATAGCAACTCTAAGAAACTAAGGTACACATCAAATGAAAACTATTCATAACTTAGTGTATATTTAAGCAAATTTTATAGTTTTCTCAAAGATACTTGCTTTTCTAGCTGTATTACAAATTGTCAAATTGAAGTGATGTTGGTGGATATTATCAAGACTTTTTTCCCCCTCCGGAGAATTTTCCGACATAATCAAGAAAGAATGAGACCTTCCCCAAGTCTCAACTTGTAGGGAGCTTCCAATCGGCTCTGATTTTCTAACACACCTACCTCTCAGTTCCTATTGTTGGTGTTGTTATGTGCCGTTGAGTCAGCCCTGACTCATAGCGACCCCTCCTTGGGTTTTCAAGGTGGTATCACTATGGAAGTAGATTGCCCAACCTTCCTTCCAAGGAGTGGCTGGTGGGTTTGAACCACCAGCCTTCTGGTTAGCAGTCAAGTGCCTTAGGCACTATGCTACCTAGGATAGTAAAATACTGGAAATGTCATGGGCTTTCAATAAGGACTTATTGACCAATTAATGAATTAGTCATCTTTATTACTTTTAGAGTTATATTCACATTAGTCAGTTTGGTCCTGGGGGAAAATATGCAAAAGAAAGGGAAAATATTTTGCTGTAATCGTTAAATTCACTTGACAAATATAAGTGTGTGGTTAGGTCCTAGTCAGTATGATTTCCATAGAGTAAATACCCAAAGAACATACTTTGAATCACACCTTTCTCTGTCTCTGCTGTGTCTAACTTGGATTCCAGCCAGATCTTGTCTCCTATCATCAGCTGCAAGATGGCACTTTCAGAAACATGCCTATAACTGTTCTTGGCCCTTGCTTCCTTCTCAAGGACTTGGATGCCATTCTTCATGAGCCCCAACTTCACAGCATGCTGGAACAACTCAATATCAAAGCCAAAATTATACACACCAGGGTTTATGCAGGTGAAAACCCCTGTGGTTACATTGAAGTGATTCTGATGGTTATGGAGGATGTCCTTGAAGACAATGGGTTGGGAGGTACCTGGGAAGGGATCATTCAGCTTCACTGCAAAGGCAGATTTTGGTGGGTGAGGGCAATCCTCGATGGCTCCAGGAGACCCTTGTAGACCTGGTAGGCCAGGAAAGCCAGGGATTCCTAAATACCAAAGTAAGAAAAGGAAGAAAGTGATGATGTGAAGTTGATGCATTTTATAATCCATGATTATCTTCCCACTTTACCCCTTCCTACCAACTTTCACTTGCACTTCCATGATCATCTTAAACATCACTATTTCCACGAAGTCTTTCTTGCCTTGCCCAGACTTAGCAAATCACTCTCCTCTGTGCCATGGTAATAGCAGAATTCAGCATTAACTCTGATCATAGCATTTCCCACACTAAATAGTAATTTCTCCTGTAAGTACCTGTTTTCTTAACTAGACTATGAGCTGGTGTCTCACTTGATTTTGTTTCTAATGTGCCACCACACAGTGTCCAGAATTAAATTGGTACTCATTGTATATTTCCTGAAGCAATAACTAAATGAATTACTACTTGAATTTCACTTTCAAACTTACTCTATATGTATATTTTTATTATCACAAGTATACCAACTAAGGACTACACTTGGGAAGCACAAATGCAGAAAAATCCAGGAATTATATCAGAGATAAGGGAGCTCTGATGGTGTAGTGCCTAAGGCATTAGACTGCTAACCAGAAGGCTAGTGGTTCAAATCCACCAGCCACTCCTTGGAAGGAAGGTTGGACAATCTATTTCCATAGTGATACCACCTCAGAAACCCAAGAAGGGCTCACTATGAGCCGGACATGACTGGCCAGCAGTGTATATATAGAGATAAAAGGTATACAGCAATGTTTCTCTAGCTGGACTGTGCATTAGCATTATACAATTACTTGGGATATAATATAGTGACTAATACAGTGACTTGGCTAATAAAGCAATAACACAGTGACCTTTTGAATCAATTTCTGGGGGATGAATTGAGGCACCTGCATATTTAACAAGATCCATAGATGATTCTGATACAAAGTCAGTTTTAAGGTTCACTGATGAAGGACCAAACTGGTGATTTGTTTTCAGTGTGTCAAAAACAAAATTTTGATCAAGAAATTGGAGTTAATAGGGTTTATTGAGTGAGAAACTGTTTCATGGACAGGCGGCACTGTGGGAGTTAAGGTTGGGTGTCACCTTGGCTGGGCCTGGTTTTGAGTGGCTGGGCAGCTGGATGTAGTTATTCCCCATGATGCGACTGGCAAACAGCTTCATGGTGAAATCAGCTGAGCAGCTGAGTAGCTGCCTTGGGGAGGTGGTCTGCTTCCGGTAGATAAGAAGACAGCTTTGAGAATGGGCTTGAGCTTTTTGGCATAGGTGGACCCTGCATGTTACTGAGCCTTCATTTAACAGACTGTCTTTTTGCTGCTGATCTTGGGATTGTGTCTGGACTTGAACTAGTGGCCTGCCATGTTGCTTGATAATTTTGAGACTGTGCCATTTTACTTGTCGACCTTGGATTTGTCAGCTTCACAGCCAGCAGCTGTCTAAGAGAAGCCTCCAGCTTGAGTGGGCCAGGACAAGAGGCAGAGCTGAAGCCCAAGGTCGAGGGGCTTTTTTACCCAGCCCCTAGAGCTGGCACTTTCAACTTGGACTTCTGGCCTCCTAAACTGTAAGAGAATAAATCCCTGTTTGTTCAAGCTGTCCCATTTGTGGTATTTTCTGTTAGAGCAGAACCCAAACTGAGGAAGCTCAAGTTTAAATAGTTACAGCACCCTTTTAAAACTTAGATGAGTAAGTATCTTACCCCTTGCTTTGACTGGTTCATCACTTCTATTTTTCCTTTGTTTGGGGAAAGTTGGCCATTGAATGCTAAGCTGGTTTATTTTGATTGAATGAGTGTTGTTAACTCATGCTGATAAGTACTGCTAACTCACGTTAATTCATGCTGATAAGTAAAACTTGCTGAAGTTTTTATTGTTTCTTATAAATGGCTTTATGATTAATTTTTCTTTGGCTCTTGGACAGGGAAGCCATTTTAACTTTTGCCTCTGAAAGATTTTAATAGTGAGATTCAGATGGCAGAGCAAGTTCTCAGAGTTGAGAGGAGATCTCCTAACACTGTACTCTCAGTTTTTTTCTTGTGATACCACTCGGTCCCTGGATTGACCACACTGCTCTAGTGTTAACCGCCTGACCACAGTAGACTCCAGTTACATTGGAGTGTGATATTATTACATTGGGTGTGCAGAGAGCCACTATGCCACTTTTCAGAGTGCACCATTTTAACTGCTATCTGAACGACTATCTAGATTTTAAATTAGCCATGTAAGTATTGTTCTGGTTACCTAGAGTCTCTCTGACAGAACATATACCACAAATGGGATGGTTTGAACAAACAAGTTTATTCTCTTACAGTTTGGAGGCTTTAAGTCCGAGTTCAAAGTGCCAGGCTCTAGGGGCTGGGTGAAAGCCCCTCAACCTTGGGCTTCAGCTCTGCCTCCTGCTCCTGGCCCACTGAAGTGAGAGGCTTTTTTTCACTCAGGCAGCTGCTGGCTGATGAGACTGACAAGTGCAAGGTTGACAAGTAAAAAGACACAGTCTTGATGCTACCAAACCACACAGCAGGCCACTAATTCAAGTCCATTAAAAGTCTCAAGATTGGCAGAGCATGGCAGGCTGCTGAACAATGACACAGCTACATGCAGGGTTCAAGCATGCCATAAGCTAGAGACCATTCCCAAAGCTGTTTCTTATATACAGGAAGCAGACCACATCCCTAGGGCAGGTACTCAGCTGCTCACAGTAGATTCCACCATGGAGTTGATTACCAGTCTCATCATGGGGAATACTACATCCAGCTGCCCAGCCACTCAACCAGGCCCAGCCAAGTTGATACACAAACATAACTACCACAAATATCAATTGGTGGCTTCTTCAGGATCCATCTGACCTTCTTTTAGGTTAAAATCTCTGTGTCTATCTTAAGGTCTAGGTGCCTAGCTGTGCTTAGGAATAAATGTTCAGAAATCAGTTGTCAGTTTTCTCCAAAAATTTCTTGTCTTGGTTATTACTGACTCAGAAACACCTGGATGTTTTCACTGGGTTTACACATATTTCAATAAAAGAGAAACAAGAAGTGATGTATGCAAGTTGAAAAAAATGTATTTTCTCACCCGTATGGCCACGTGGCCCTGGTGGACCTGGGGGTCCTTGGAGTCCTGGGAATCCTTGAGAATCACAAGATGTTGAAACTTCTAGAGAACTGACATTAGCCATGGCTGACACAACAGACAATACTAGAATCCAGACATCTAGAACAAGGGATCAATGGATAAAAATTGTAAGCTGCAATATACTACTGCTCCTTTTGATGGATTATGTTCCCAGCATTGTCAAAGGGAGGCAAATCCTCACAATGCCAAGAAATGAGTAAGAGATTGGTTGTATCAAGGCCCTCTTTCCATTTTCCTTATTGAGGGAGCACCATCAGTACCAATGCAATCTATAGTTTCCTTCTACTTGATGTTAATGTAACTCACTAGAACCTGATCTAGTAGCTTAGAGCTTTTCTCTTTAAGAAAATATTCTAAGTGGCCTTATCTTTATGATCATTAGGTACCTGGTGCATACACAAGTAAGCTCCAAACCAAACCATTGCTGATGAGTGACTTCTGACTCAGCAGTCCTATAGGACAGGGTAGAATGTGTCCCATACAGTTACTTTATGGAAGCAGACTGTCACATCTTTCTGAAAAACAAGCCAATTGGGAGTTTCAGTTGCTATTCATCCCTTGTTAGATTTTTCCCTCATATCTGCATGGTAACCTTGAACTTTCTCAAAGGGAGTGATGCACACTTTCTTCTGCATTACCACTCCATCTGCTTCCCATGATGCATTTATTACATTAAACCAACTGCCATCTTTGTTGTTGTTGTTATGTGCCATGGAGTTGGACCCGACTCATAGCGACCCCTCCTTGGGTTTCTGAGGCAGTATTACTATGGAAGTAGATTGCCCAAGCTTCCATCTGAGGAGTGGCTGGTGGGTTTGAACCATCAGCCTTCTGGTTAGCAGTCAAGTAGCTTAAGCACTATGCTATCAGAGCTCCTACTTGCCATCTAGTCCACCCCAATTCATAGCGATCCCATGTGGTTCAGAGTAGAACTGTACTCCATAGGGTTTTCAGTGGCTGATTTTTCAAAAGCAGATAGCCAGGCCTTTTTTCTGAGGTGCCTGTGGATAGACTTGAACCTCTAACCTTTCAGTTAGCAGCTGAGTGTGAATTACATTCCAAACCAAACCAAACCAATCCCCCTGCTATAGAGTCGTATCTGACTCATAGTGACCCCTCCTTGGATTTCTGAGGCAGTATCACTACCTTCCTTCTGAGGAGTGGCTGGTGGGTTTGAAGTGCCAGCCTTCTGGTTAGCAGTCAAATGCCTTAGGCACTATGCTACCAGAGCTCATTAGAGTGTGATAAAACTTTATATCTGTCTATCTAGACTGGTTCAGTAAATGCTACCTTCCTTTTTGGGTGGCTGTGAGGCTTAAAGAAAATGATGTATGAAAAGGACCTGGCACCAGGTCTGGTACATAGGTATCATTCCTTAAACATACATTACTGGACTTCCCACTCCTCTTATCTTTCTATGCTGATTTCCAAATTGTTGTTGTTGTTGTTATGTATCATTGAGTCAGCTCCAACTCATAGTGACCCTGTGTACAACAGAACAAAACACTGCCCAGTCCTGCACCACCCTCACAATCCTTGCTATACCTGAGCCCATCATTGTAGCTGCTGTGTCAATCCACCTCATTGAGGGCCTTCTCCTTTTTTGCTGACCCTCTACCAGGCATGATATGCTTCTCCAGGGAAAGGTCCTTTCTGACAACCTGCCCAAAGTAGGTGAGACAAAGTCTAGCAATTCTTGCTTCCAAGGAACATTCTGGCTGCACTTCTTCTGGGACAGTTTTGTTAGTTCTTCTGTCAGTTCATGGTACTTTCAGTATTCTTCACCAATGCCACAATTAAAAAGCATCAACTCTACTTTGGTCTTCCTTATTCACTGTCCAGTTTTCATGAACATCTGAGGCTATTGAAAATACCATGGCTTGGGTTAGATGCACGTTAGTCTTCAAAATCTTTGCTCTTCACCACTTTAAAGAGGTCTTTTGCAACAGATTTGCCCAGTGCAATATGTCCTCTGATCTCTTGACTGGTGCTTCCATTGGTGTTGATCGTGGAACCAAATAATTTGCAATTGATTTCCAAATAGGGAATGGTTTACCATCAAAAGTATTCATGATCACTGGCATGTTGACCCTGGGCATCTATGACAGTAATTTTCAAAAGGATATGGAGAAGAAAATATGGGGTGGCTTTTTGGAGGGCCAGAACTGGTAGGGAAGGCTGGGAAGTGGTGGCAGATGGCTTTTTGGAGGGATAGAAATGGTAGGAAAGGCTGGGAAGCAGGAGTAGAGCAGTTTGGAACAGCTAAGGGAGATGAACTCATCTGTCAGTTTGCCATCTTGTGGTGGCTTGTGTGTTGCTGTGAAGCTGCAGGCTATACCACCTGTGTTTCAAATGCCAGCAGGGATATTCACGGTTGACAGGTTTCAGCAGAGCTTCCAGACTAAGACAGACTCAGAATAAGGAAGAGGCTATCTACTTCTCAAAGAATTGGCCAGTGAAAACCTTATGAATAGTGGTGAAACACTGTGTGATACATTACTGAAAAAGATCCCTGAAACATTATCTGATATAGTGTCAATAGATGAGCCCTTCAGGTTGGAAGCACTCAAAATATGAGTAGGAAAGAGCTGCCTCCTCAGAATAGAGCCTACCATAATGATGTGGAAGGAGTAAAGCTTTCAGGACCTCATTTTGCTGATGTGGCACAATTCAAGATAAGAAGAAACAGCCCCAAACATCCATTAATAATTGGAACATGGAATTATCTTCAGTAAGATTATATTCAGTAAGCACAAACTATGAATCTAGGAAAATTGAAAGTTGTCAGAAATTTAATGGAACACATAAAGCTCAGGATCCTAGGCATTGGTGACCTGAAATGGACCGGTTTTGGCCATTTTGAATCAGACAACCATATGATCTACTATGCTGGGAATGACAGAATGAACAGGAATGGTGTGACATTCATCATCACAAAGAATGTTTCAAGATCTATCCTGAAGTACAATACTGTCAGTGACATGATAATATCCATATGTCTACGAGGAAAACCAGTTAATATTACTATTGTTCAAATTTACACACCAACCACCAGAGCCAAAGATGAGGAAATTGAAGATATTTACCAACTTCTGCAGTATGAAATCAACCAAACATGCACTCAGGATGTGTTAATTATCAATTTTGATTGGAATGCAAAAGTTGGAAACAAAGAAGAATCACCAGTAGTTGGAAAATAAGGTCATGGTGATAGAAATGATGCTGGAGATCACATGATAGAATTTTGCAAGACCAACGACTTATTCATTGCAAATACCTTTTTTTTCAACAACACAAACAGTGGCTATACGTGTGGACTTCACCAGACAGAGTACACAGGAAGCAGATTGACTACATATGTGGCCAAGAGGCAATGAAGAAGCTCAGTATGTTCAGGCAAAACAAGGCTAGGAGGTGATCGTGTAACAGACCACCACCTGCTCATACGCAAGTTCAAGGTGAAGCTGAAGACAATTAACAGAAGTCCACAAGAGCCAAAATATGATCTTATCACTCCTGAATTTAGAGACCACCTAAAGAATAGATTTGATGCATTGAACATCAGTGACTGAAAACCAGAAGAATTGTGGGATGACATCAAGAACATCATCCATGAAGAAAGCAAAAGGTCATTAAAAAGACAGGAAAAGAAGAAAAGACCAAAGTGGATGTCAGAGGAGACTCTGAAAGTTGCCATAGAATGGAAAGTAGCTACAGTAAGTGGAATAATCGACAGGATAAAAGAGCTGAACAGAAGATTTCAAAGAGAAGCTCGAGAAGACAAAGTCAGTTATTATAATGAAATGTGCAAAGACCTGCAGTTAGAAAACCAAAGGGAAAGAACACTTTCAGCATTTCTCAAGCTGAAAGAACTGAGGAAAAAATTTAAGCCTTGAATTGGAATATTGAAAGATTCCATAGGCGATATGATGAATGATACAGGAAATATCAAAAGAAGATGGATGGAATACAGAGAGTCACTATAGTAAAAATAATTGGTAGATGATCATCCTTTTCAGGAGGTGGCATATGATCAAGAACCAGTGGTACTGAAGGAAGAAGTCAAAGCTGCACTGAAGGAATTGGAGAAAAACTAGGCTCTGGGAAATGATGGAATATCCATTGAGATGTTTCAACAAATAGATGCTGCAATGGAGACACTCACTCAGTCATGCCAAGAAAATTGGAAGACAGCCACCTGGCCAACTGACTGGAAGAGATCCACATTTGTACCTATTCCAAAGAAAGATGATCCCACAGAATGTGGAAATTATCGAACATTATCATTGATATCACATGCAAGTAAAATCTTACTGAAGATAATTCAAAAACGGTTGCAGCAGTATGTTGTTATTGTTAGATGTCATCAAGTCATCTCCAACTCATAGCGACCCTACGCAAAGCAGACTGAAACACCATCCG